TAAAAAAAAAATCTATTAATGTATGATGGAGCTGCCCAGCCAGGGACTACATTTTAGATTTCTTCTTTTTTACTAAGAAAAAGATAAAAACAGTAAGAGGTAAAATGTGCATGCCATTCAAATAAATCTCAATAGAGCTAAGCTATTGCCCTTTACCACTGTGTCCTAAGAACTTAGTTTTTTGTTTGTGAGACATTCAGCAGTGTTTGCTAAATGACAAACACACGTCAGAAGTCGCCTTCGAATCGTGGAAGGAAGTTTCTCTGGCTAGGTAGTCTTGAGACTAACACGAGTGTCTCTGAGAAAGGGATACAGAGCACAACTGCCAGCCCATCTCTAGTAAAGAAGGACTGATGTAAATCTGGGTTTTGAGGTTTAAGAGCAGAAGCTCCTGACCCCAATATGGACTATAAGAAGGGAAGCCAGATCATAATTTTGTGTCCATGAAGCACACATATGAGAATCAGCACTGACCAAAGACTCCAGGGCCTGTGTGAACTAAAAGAACCTAGCACTAAAAAGGTCGGCCCTTAGAAACCACCCACGGCACTCAGGGAGGGTGGTCTGAATTAGGGCAGCTAGCAGGGGAGCAAGTATTTTTAGAACTGATGAATTAATAGATAAGAGTCTTCATCAGTGACATCATGAGGCAGCAAGGAGCAATTGTGGCATGGTTGCCTTACACCTGAGTATGCCATTTTTGCATCTGGAAATCTACCGCTGAGTCTATCCATGCCTTTTAAACGGACATACGTTTTTTCTTTTGTCTCCTTGTTTTTTGTTTTTGTTTATTTTTTATTTTTATTATTTATTTATTTATTTTTTTTTTAACAATTCCAGAGGAGGGAAAGAGGGGGAAGCCAACCAATGAAAGTCTGATAATTGACTTTTTGCCAACAAGAGCGGTAAGGACATGAGTAATTAAGTAGGAAAACAAGATATTTGACCATATTTATACCATGAATTTTGGGTGCATGTCGTATTGCTCACAAATAAAATGAGGAAATTATTTTATGCACCTGAATGGATGGTGCCAAATTCTCTTAGGGTGGGAGAGTAAGACTCAGCCATTTACAGAAGAATGTAAGCTAATAAGTGAAGATGAAATGTTAGAATTAGAAAATCATTATCTGAGAACTCCCTCAAAATTATGGATTCAGAAAAGGGTGGAGACAATAGAACACTGTAATTTGCTCGCATGCTTGTTTCACAGTAAATAGTATTCACTGAACAACAAATTTTGGTTCTTGATCATTTTGTCTCTTTCATTCACTGGATGCTTCCATCAACCTTTTTTGGGTAAATATCAGAGTATAAAGATAGCTTTTAAGCCTCAAATCTCTGCTCTTGGACATCTGTATATTTTTTGGTTTTGATTGTTATTTCAGCAAAACAAAGTTTAACATTTCTTCTGGTATTCAATATTGTTTGTGGGAATTTGCGGCTATCTTCTTATATGCATTGATATAGACTTAATCATAAAATGTCTTATTTTAATTTAATTTCACTGCCTGACCTCTCCCTGATCCTGGCATCCACTGTGATTTCAGAGCAAAGTTGAAGCCATGCCCAGGTGCTGTGATTTAAACATCACACAAATAGCTTATACAGTCAACCCTATTATCTGAGAAATATTATGTTTAAGAGTTAAGATCCAATATAGTGGCTCACACCTGTAATCCCAGCACTTTGGGAGGCCGAGGAGGGTGGATCACGAGGTCAAGAGATTGAGACCATCCTGGTCAACATGGTGAAACCCCGTCTCTACTAAAACTACAAAACATTAGCTGGGCATGGTGGCGCGTGCCTGTAATCCCAGCTACTCAGGAGGCTGAGGCAGGAGAATTGCCTGAAACCAGGAGGCGGAGGTTGTGGTGAGCCGAGATCGCGCCATTGCACTCCAGCCTGGGTAACAAGAGCGAAAGAAACTCCGTCTCGAGCAGATTCTATGGGGAAAAAAAAAAGATCCAATATAACAGTAGTGAATATCCACTCTTTTTTTTTTCCTCCATAGAATCTGCTCTTATTCAACTAGCAGTAGTGTCCTGTTTTCTTCAGGAAACCAATCTTGCCACACCATCATTGTAGTTACTGTGGAATGAAATTCTGCCCCTGGCTCCATGGAGGCTTGGCTAATCCAGCATCACATTTTCCTTGGCGTCAATGACTGGTTCTGGGATTGGCACATTACTGTAGTTTGGGTATGGTTTGTTCCGACCCAATTTCACATTGAAATCTGGTCCCCAATGTCAGAAGTGGGACCTAATAGGAAGTGTTTGGGTCACGGGGGCAGATCCCTCATGAACAGATTAACGCCCTCTCTTGTGGTGAGTTCTCAGTCTATTATTTCCCTCCAGAGCTGGCTGTTAAAAGAAGCTTCACACCTTCTCCCCTCTCTCTTGCTTCCTCTTTCCCCATATGATCTCTGCATATGCTGACTCTACTTCACCCTCCACCATGAGCAGAAGCAGCCTGAGGCCCTCGCCAAATGCAGATGCCAGTTCTATGCTTCTTGTATAGCCTGCTGATCCATGAGCCAAATATACCTCTTTCATGTATAAATTACCCAGCTTCAGGTATTATTTTATAGTAACACAAAACGGACTAAGGTACACATGAACCAAATTAGGCCAGTTAGTGTATTGGAACTCTTTGGAAAGAGAAGCTACATATGTCAGAGTAAATGCTGATAGTATCTAAATCTAGAACTACTGGCTGCCACCTCTCTTAATTACTGATGGCAGCCATGGCCAGTCTAGGAACAGGCTGCCATGACTCTGGCTGCCACTGGGGAGGCATAGCCAGGGTTGCATGCCCATGGAGACTGCAGGAGCATGGAACAGGCAGAAGCCTCGCCTCCTTCCAAGGTGGAGGGGGCTGCAACTGCCCAGTCATGACTGTGGACCTAGCCATCTCTGCATCTTTCGGGGCCCAGGGAGCCCTGCTTGCCCCCACAGGCTTAGAAGTGCCTGTTTTCACTGCCTGACCTCTCCCTGATCCTGGCACCCACTGTGATTTCAGAGCAAAGATGAAGCCAGGCCCAGGTGCTATCATGACCTGGCTGGGTGTGTACATGCTTGGAGCAGTGCTGACATGCCAGCCTTCTGCCACCCTGGCACCCTCTGGACTTTGGGCATTAATGAGCACAGCAGGGAGGCAGAGAGGTTGGTGAGGGCAGCTTGGTGTGAGCCTGCAGGTGCCCCCGGGCATTAACAGTTTGGATGTCAGGGACAGCAGACTGAAGGCAGATGGAGGCAGACAGGCTTCTGGGCAGAAAGGGGCAAGTCTCAGGTGAAGCCCCCACCTTCAGGTCTGGGATGGCATGAAACCTGAGGCCTGGACTGCCAGTTCCGAGGTCCAGAGTGAGAACTTATGGTGCTTTTTCTAGCTTTCCCATGGCTGCCCATGGACCAATCAACATACACTTCCTCTCCTCCAAAGCCCATAAAAACCCTGTACTCAGCCAGACTAGGGCATCAGGAGGATCTTCCTGCAGAGAAGAACTACTCATTGTGGGTCTCCTCTCAGCAGAGTTGAGCAGATGTTGGAAGGACCTGCCCGTAGAGAGGAGCTACCTACTGTGGGTCTCCTCCTCTCAGCTGAGAGCTGAGCAGACGTCAGGATGAACTCTCTGCAGAGAGGAGCTCACCCACTCCAGTTCTCCTCTCCACTGACAGCTGCACTCATTAGGATGATCTGCCTGCAGAAAGTAGCTACTCATTTTGGGTCTCCTGAGAGCTGTACTATCACTTAATAAAGCACCTCTTCACCTTACCTTCCAGTTGTCCACATACCTCATTCTTCCTGGACTTGAGATAAGAACATGGGACCTGCCTAATGGTGGAACTGAAGAGTGGTAACACAAACAGGGCTGAAACATACCCCTTGCTCACCATGTTATGGGTGACAAGAAGGAGAGAAGAAAGAAGGAGAGATAAGCTGTGGCCCTTTGAGGAGCCCAGACCTAGGAGCTCCTGAGCCAGGGCAGTGATACCCTTTTTGGGGCTCTGCAGTTCCTGGCATCTCCAAGCTTCTGGGCACCACTGTGTTCTCCAGTTCCCACAGTGGCAGCCACTTGGGGTATATCTGGCCCAGCTGCAGCCTCACAGGGAGCCAGGGCCTGTGCCAGCACTGAGAGCTACCTGCCCTGCCATAGCCAGCATACCTTGCTGTGCAGTGCCTGGACTCCATACTTGCTCACTTATACACCCCTTGCTCCTCTGTGCCTTGCTAGCCCTTGGCAGGTGTGGGATCCAGGCTGGATCCTATGACATTACCACAGTTATGGAGAGTCTGAATGAAGGTAAATCTTATATAAAAGAAAGCCAAGCTGAGAGGGAAGCCAAATCCTGTTTGTGCCATCTGAGTCTCTAGATCTAGCCAGGCCTGGGCTTTTCAGTTTTATGAATCAAACAGTAATAATACTTTTTATTGATAAATTGCTAATTCCTGATTATTTTCATCATGTATTATATATCAGTAATTCTTAATAACAATAATTTATAACAAGAACATATTTAGTTCTTAAACATGTTTGAATTTATTTGTGATTACTAAAGAAGCCTAAGACAATGGTATATGAAATAATCAAATCTAGAACTCAAAATTTCAGACCTTTTCTGACCTTAACCCAGTGTTCTTTGCAAACTTTATGGAATGGCTAAGACTGGGTCATTCTATTGAATAGCACTGTCTTATCTAGAAGTATAAGTGAGTTGTAAGAACCAGTGCAATTATGTTGTTCTAGCTACATGCATGCTTGACACTCTCTTCCAATTATAGAGGACAGATTAATTACCAAATAAAGCAGAGAATCACAACAACAGGGAGTTTTTATCATGAGAAATCTCCTGCTAAGAAAGTAAAATTATTAGGCAAAGGAGTATGAGGCTAGAACCAGGATCAGAAAGGACCCAACTTACCCATCAGTTTCCTAGATAATATATATATTTTAAAGGCATGGAGAATTATATAGTATAATAGAAGACAGTATTTTTTAAAGACAACAAATCTTTATTAAACACCTGCAGTTACTGGAAGGACGCCACGATGCTGGACACACTGTCAAAGTCTATCTCCTCCACAAAGTTCTTGGGCTTAATGTTTTTTTCCTGGCTGCAGATGAAGATCTGCCCTGACTCATCGGCACTCCAGCTTTATTTTCTCACCTATGCCTTCAGCTGGCTGTCTGACAGATATCCGAGCATCTCGGCCAGTAGCCAGCAGTTGATGTGCTGGTAAGTCATACCCACGACAGGGCAGATAAACATTTGGACAGTCTTCAAAGCCACTTATACCTTCTAAGCGGTCCATGCCTTCATCCAGGACTTGCCAGAAGGCCTGGAAATGGCAGGTCTCCAGCAGTTTCCTGGGATAAAAATCTGTCGGATGGCCACATTCTTGATGTGCCTGGCCAATCATGTACTTACTTACAGGGTGAAGTTGGTAGGTGGCAGGTTGGTGAGGGCTTTCAGTTGGATCTGGGCATGACTATGGTCTGAAGAAACACTGGGTTGGACTAGTACAGCTTCAGCACAGCTGGGTTGGCTTCCAGGTCATAGGCATTTTTGTTGGCCTCCATCTCCAAATAGTGCTCCAGGGTGACCAGGTTCTCAGGACTGTACCTGTGGTCACCCTTGAGCAACTTGCCCACATTGGCTCTCATCTGCTCATACATCACCATGACTGCTGTCACCTTCCACAACGAGGACTAGAAGCTAGCAATGGACTGGCACAGTGTCCTCAAATATAGCAAGTTTTATATGGCTCATTCATTTTAAAGGAGTTTGCATTTTTGTTCAGAAACAAAAAGGGTTCTATTGTCATACTTGTTTTTTATAAGATCCTGTCTATTTTGTATTATATCTTGGTATATCTGAACATGAGCACTTCTTTATTAGGTGTTATGCCCTTTCTGTATGACAGTACAGTGTATAGTCAATTTTGAAACCCAGAAAAATGCATGTCCTTTTTTTATATCAGTACTTTGGATATGTGATAGACATCTTTATGTTTTGGTGTTTCAAAATTTTTAAGGCCATGAAGGGGAATCACATTTACCATCATCAGTAATTGTTCTTTTAATTAAATCATGATGCAATAAAAACACACCAAATAGATTTACTTATTCTAGCTTTTAGATGTGGTTCAAAAATAAAAAGGAGGTTCTAGGGAGGCCACTAGTGGCCTTTCCATGCACCTAACTTATTTCCCCTGGTGGAATAAAGAGCATCAGGGGACTAAAGAAAGAAGCTGCTGCAAGTTCTGGCCCTGAAGATAATTTGCATCGGGGTCTTTTTGTGATTTGAGTTTGAGGCACTGGGGTTGATGACTTCTAGGCCTAATCATCACTCTGCAGAGACCACATCTTTGAGAATATTACTTTCTGTGTCCAAGAATGATTTAAGGTTCAGCTACTGTCTGTAGCACTATGTTTCTTGGAGATGAACCATGGAATACTTGAATTCAAATCACCAGGAATGCTTAAAAGTGTAGATTTCTAGGACCCACCCAATGTAGTGAATCAGAAACTGTGGAAATGGGAACAGGTTAGTACTTTGAAAATAAGTACTCACTGTTGATTCTTACCCATATTAAAATTTGAGTATTGCTATAGGCTACATCAACTTTGAGTACTACGTAGGTGACAGTCTGGGAAATAAGCCCTAATACAAAGTCTATGGATTTCATTGTCATTCAGCTTCCTAAATATTTGATTTTATGCAACATCTGGATGAGAGTTAAAAGACGCATGGTAATTTTGAAAAATAATATGCTGATTTAATAAACAAAAGAGGAACACTTAGAATAAAAGATTTTATGCAAATGATAATTCAGGGCCAACTCAGTGAATGAGAAGCTTCTCTTTTAATGCTCCTATATCATATTCTCTAGGTACTTTAATAGAAGAAAAAATGAAAGCACAGCTGTTTCCCTTTGCTTTCTTAATAAGCCAATTATGGCCATTTTAATCATCCAATTTAACACACTGAACAATTAAGGCATTCAGATTTTGGTGCTAACAGTCATATCAAAACACCTCAGATCCTGTTTTCCTCCTCCAAACATCTGTAAACTGTAATTTATGTGAAAATGTAGCTACCTACTTATTGTAACTGGCAAGGTAGAATAGCCATTCTCAAAGACAATGGTTTCCGACTGTGACGGCAGAAAACACCTGGACAAATTTAAAAACATAAGCTATACCTGTATTCCCTTATAAGCCAACTAAATAAAGATTGCTGGAAAGAATGCCCAACAATTTCTTCTTAAATTCTGCAGGTGATTCTACTGTGGCCAGGCCTAGAATTCACTCCTTGGGGCATTTCCCAGGCAGTGCAATCTCTGACTCAATAAATGAAATTCAGCCAAGAATAATCAGTGGAAAGATTGCTTGAAGTCAGTGTCGTTCATTCCTTTCTAGGCTACCATCTTTAATTAACCCAGGATGGCAGAATGAAGGTGGAGTGCTAGCACAGGATTGTAATGTGCTAGCAGACTTATTGCTTCCAAATTTCCCTTCTTGTACTCTCATGTGTTTTACGACTAGTCAATTATATATGTATTATTCCAACTACTATGATGCCTGAAAAACAAGTTGGAATTAAAAAAAAAAAAAGAGTTCTAGATTCCCAACATTTTAAAATAGAAAATTATCTGATTCTTACTAACTTGCATTGATGAATTATGAAAAAGATGTTTTAAAACTAATCTGCAGTCACTGTAAGAGATGAATATATTCCTATGGATATATGGGAATTTTATTTTATTTTAGAGAAAGGATCTCACTCGGTAGCCTAGGCTGGAGTACAGTGGATTGATCATAGTTCACTGCAGCTTGGAATTTCTGGGCACAAACAATCCTTTTGCTTGACCTCCCTAAGTCCTCGGATTATAGTCTTGAGCTACTGTATCTGGCCTGAAATTGTCCTTTAAAAGGAAAACTATTAGTAGTGATCACTACTGATGGCTCATTTGCATATGTAATTTAAGACAGGTTTCCTCTTAGCTGTGATCACCTTTTATTAAAGTATTTACCCTCTGATTGACATACAGGCACAAACCCCCTTTGGATTTTAAAAGAGCCTGACTTTACATATGTAAACTCAGGCTGTTTTTTAATTTATATTGGCTACATAACAAAGTAGCTTCTAAATTTTGTACAATACACACATTTCTTTTGGTTGAAGACATTAAGTTTCACTATTATTTGTGAGTTTGTGTAATTATTAAAAAGTTGTATACAAAACCTGCAAATATGCAAAAACTGCAAAATACACTCTGACAGCTAATGCTCTGAAAACACTTTATTACACAAATTACATTCAGATTCTGAAAATAGTGTTCTAACAGTGTAACCATCTAAAAATAAGACATCCCAGAAACACACCAACTGAAAAAGAAAGTTTAAAAAACAATTTAAATAGAGACTTTTTTATTTCCCTCATTGCAATATAATGTTAGTGATTTTAAAAAAATAGGAGATTTAGCAGCTTTGTCGTCATGTAGCACAAAGTTTCTCTTTACTGCCACAGGCTGAGAATGCTGAACAGGAAAGGCACCAAAGAAAGACACTGGCAATGAAAAGTGCTATTGGGAAAATACTGTGTTCAAGCAAAGAATGGGGTTATTTACATCCACCAAAAGTCTCAAAAGTGTAAATGGGCAAACCTTCCATAGCTAGATTAGTACTATGATGGAAAAAGAGGGCTGTTTCTCTAGTCTATGTTCATATAAAGACAATGGCACTCTTATGAACTTTTAGGAAACTCCTCAACTAGAAACAGAAGCCAACTTAACCAAAATGAAGCAAATAAAGTGTGTACAGTCCTACACTGACTAGTACAGTTTACAATTAAATATACAGAACTTTAATCGTGCTAAAGGGAAAGGAATCTGGCATTCTGGGTACATTTCACTCAATCTAAATCAAAGTCTGGTTTTCAGGAGGAGGAAGGTACGGGTGCGGGCAGAGGTGCTGAATACTCCTCTTCTGATTCACTGCCGTCATCCTCCTCTTTCTCTTGGTCACTGCCCTCGGTACTAAGGCGGTCAAACCCTTTTCGACTGTAGCCCTTACGGCTTGCAAAGAAATTTCCAAGGTTTAAACCTTTACTTCCCTTTCCTGAAAAAAAGCAAACAATAATAGAATTGGGTAATGTTTGCAGCAATGATTCTGTTTCCTTGTAAATTATTACATGATAAGCAAAGTCAGAAGGTGTGGATGAAAAATGGTAGATTATTTTATTTATTCTGAAAAATAAAATAGAAAAACAGACAGAGAGACTTACCCTACAGAGCCATACAGATACTACTATTAAAGAAAAAAAAAGAAAAACCGAAGCTCTTGAGTATTATGTGTTTCTGCAGGAATATATCAGATTCACTTTCACCTCCTGCTTTGCTCCAGCTCTCTGTCCAGAACTAGCCTCCCTGGAGCAGTGCCTTATTTCAATGACTTTATGAAAAGGTCATCTTCACCATGACAAACATTGACATGCCAACGTGAGTGACAGAAAATTTACTGAAGACAAATGAAGCCAGGTAAAAGGCAGGGGAAGAGAATTAGATAATACAGAATGGCAAAATGGGAAATATAAAACTGGGAAATCTGCTGCCAGACGCATGCACTTCAGTTTAGTTTATGGTGTGCATTCTGCATTTACTCTGGGGAATGCTAAGCTGCATACAAGGTGTTTTATCTTCAAAGACAAAATATGAAATATCTCCTTGCCTTTTAAAAGACATGTGCTTGTTGACTTTGAACTAAACATGAAGGGTTCTAAAAGGTCATAGGCATACCTCTAAATCTTCCCAGTACTCTTCCTGAACTTGTCTCAAGTTTGTGTTCAGAATCTGCTAAAAAGAGATGGCACATTTCAAAATGGGTCCCAATCATCTTCCTCAACCCATGCACTCAATTTCCAACTTAAAATCAGGAACTTGTAAATAATAAAGCAATGCCTGGCTCTTGTCTGTATGCAATTCTAATTTTTAAGAAAGGCAGTATATTTTTGAGACATACATAAATGGCCCAAGCTGGGTTTGAGTCCTGCCCGTGTCTCTTACTGGCTGTGTGATCTTGATAAATGAGCTTCAGTTTTCTCCTCTGAGCAAAGAAAGGTCAAGAAGAATCCCTATCTGTCTGAAGGCTGAGATTAGACACTGCATGTGACACATTTAGAACAGTATCTGTAAATATACAGTAAATGCTCAATAAATCATAGCTCTTTTTTTGTCAGGTAAGAATTATTACCAATAATTTGTAAAGCTTTTGAATCTTTGGTTATTACAATTTAGTAATATTTGCCTCCAGCTTTGCTCTTTCTACAAACAGTACATGTCCTGCTTGAGAAAGCTTTGGATCCATGCGTATCATTTCTTCTTTACGTAAGACATAAGTAAAGGGAAAGGATGTGATACCCTGAGTATTTTCCAAGCATAGCAGGTGACCTAAATGTTCCCAATAGGGCTGCCTATCTCCATAAAGGATAGACTGCTTGTGGGAAGGCAGGACTCCCAATGGGTTTCATTTTTCCCTTGCTGTGTGTGTCTCCCTGCATGCTTTCCCTTGCTTCATCACTCCCTCATGGGCTATGGTCAGGAAGGTCAGGCCTGGGGTTGTCCTGTTAGGTCTTTAGCCAGCACTGAAGGCAGCATCATGGTAAAAGATAGTGGCGATGAGAGGAGAGGGAGAAGACAGTGATGTGGAAAGAAATATTCAACAAGGGAAGAAGAATCTGGTAAGACTGTTAGAAGGCCAACAAATTAGATCGTAAGTTCTGCAAATATGAGGGACATTACTTAGTTTTGTATCCCCTGTGCTTGGCACAGTATTTGATATGGAGTCAATACATAATAAGGAATGTTGAATAAATGGAAGGTCCTTTATTAGGGGTTTTAATAACCTTAAAATAAACTGGATAAGATCAATCAAGAACAAATTTAGAAAAAAGTGAGAAGGTGATCTAGTTTTAGAATTAAATGTATTAGACGGAGCCAAATGAAACTGCAATTTTTCTAAATAAAACACGGTCAAATAATAGCGATTTTTATGGTTCAGCCTGGGTCTCTATCTTCCTAGCACATTCCTGTAAAGTCAGCATGATGTAATAGTGCGATGTCACTTGTGCTTAATAACCAACAGGAGAGACCAAACCTTCCTGATTCCATAGCCACTGCTTCTGCCAGGTTGGGTTGGTTACCACCATTCCTGTCACCTGCCCCGAAGTCTTACTGTTGCTACTACTCTGTGTATTTATCCCTGCACTTACCACCCTCTACTATAACTTTTTTTGTTTAGTGTCTCTTTCATATGTTATCTATTCTGTGAGCTCCATTGATTTATTCATTCATTCTTTCAACAACTATTTATTAAACCACTAGTATCAGGAATTATTATTTGTGCTGGGGACATATCAGTAATTAAGATATGGATCCTTGCTCTTTTGAAGCATCTATCTAACCCCATGAAGACAATGACTACGTTTATTTCTCTTTGTCCCCACTTATGACAGTTCCAGATCTGTAACATGGACTCAATAGAAGTCCTTTTTGGGAAGAGTTAACTATATTTTTGCAGAGATTTATTGATGGCAGATGGAAAGCAAAAGAAAGACCAAGAAAAATTCCCTTTTACAACGTATTAAATTTTCTGTTTTCTGTTTCCATGCCTTTTTCTGTGTCAGGGCTTTGCCAGGAGCACTGAATCCCTGCCATGGCTGCCCTGACCTGAAATAGGATCAGATGCTGTTTTCTGATCAAATGCTGCCTCTCTCCCTGGTCCACGGATTTCTTCCCACACACAGCTATAGGCTCTTGCTCTAGGACCTGGGGGCCCAGCCAGGGACTGCTATTGAGAGGTGAGAAGCGTGGGTTGGGTTATTTGTTTATTTATTTGGATGTCCTAAAATAAACTCAGCTGTTGGATCCTGTATTGTGATAAGATTTCATAAAATACTAACTCCGGAATTGGACTCTGCCTTGTTCAGTTATGAAAGGCTGATGGTCTAAATTATGACAATTCAAAAACCACCAAATGGTTTGTTACAGAAATAATTAATTTTCTGAGAAAACTAAGGTGTAAGGCAAGTTTTAAAATAACTTCTTATGCCTTTTATTACTTTATTACCAATGATTATTCATCATAATCATTGGTGGTATTAATTAAGTACTTACTAGGTTCCAGGTATCCTGAAAAATGCTTATGTACATTATTTCATCTAATCTTTATACAACCTTGTAAGGTAACTATTTTAGCCTCACTTTATTTTTATAAGGAAACTGGTCTGGAGAGGTTAAGTAACTTGCCCATGGTCATGTAGCTAGGAGCTAGAGCCAGCCTAATGGGAGAAAAACGCAAGCCCAAAATCTGACCCAGGTACTTTCAGGACTGCACCTCTTCCTAACAGCAGATATCTCCTCCTCTCTGACCCTTCAGCTAATTTGTACTGACTCTACTACCTACAATTTCATATGGAGATATTAATTGGGCTTAAGGCAATTGCTAAAAGATAGTATTAAAGGCTATATTTTAATCTATCCAAATTTCATAGTCTCCAGATAATATTTTTTATTGTAATGTCAACTAGGGGCAATATTTGGAACATAGACAAATAACATCAAAAATAGTAGAGAGCATTAAAAACAAACAAACAAACAAACAAAAAACAAAAAAAAAACAAAGACAGTGAAAAAAAATCTCAAGCAAACTCCTGAGGATAATTAGGCCAAACATTCTTTCAAAGGTAGGTTCCAAGTTCACGGGGCTCATTTTACTTGCCTCCAAAGGTCCTTGATTTTTTCCACCGAATAAATATGGCAATGGCCAGCAGGAAAACCACTGGAATAACCAGAAGGGTTGTAATGAGAACAACGGGCACTCCCGAGCCTGGCTCTTTGATCAGTTTCTGTTTCTCTTGCATCTTCTGCAATTCTGAGGAGGTGGGTTTGTTCTCCATTTTGCTTTCAACAACTGCCTCGGCTTCTTCAGGGAAAGAAGAGTTCACAATATTCAACTGACTCAAAGATTTCAAAACCCTCTTACCCACCCCTACCCGGTCAAATCAATAACTGTTCACAAAGAACTTGTTGACTCCAGTGTACATGGGGTTCATGTTTCAATATCTGAATCTATCAAGCTGGCAGCAGGC